TCTGTTTCAGAGCTGTTTTCACTTCCCATCTGTTTTAGGAGCAACTCCTGAAAACAAATAGAGTTTACGACTGCACAGTTATAACAGAGGGCAAGCCAGAACCATCTGGGAAGCTTTATCAAAATACACCCATCCAGAGCCTGACCCTCTGATATTTCAATTCACTAGTTCTTGGGTGGGGCCTGGGCATATGATTTTGAAAAAGTCTCCAGATAACTCTGATATGCCTCTCTGAAACAGAGAGGTGTTTCTTTGAAACTATACTTAAGCTTTTACCTGAAGAATCTATATACAGAAGAAGGGATGGGGGCAGATTTAGAAATGGAAAAGATAAATATCAAGTCAGAAAGCTCAAAAAGTTCAAATTATTGGTATGGTAGTCATTAATGCTGCTCACTGGCATCTAATTCTCCTCTTTCCTGTACCCCCAAAACTGCACTTTCCCCTTCTCGTTTAAAGTTGGACCCGGCCATGTTCCCGGCTTTGGCCAATGAAATGTAAGCAGCAGTGGCATGTGTCACTTCCAAGCAGAAGTCATCAAGACACAGTACCCAAGTCACCACATCCCTTTTTTCCTGCCTTGACGATGGTGGAAGCATGTGTTGAGATGGTGCCTCTATCCGCTGAGATCCTTGGGGGACTATGATGAAAAAGCCCCTGTCACCCCATGTAGGCCATGAAACGGGAGTAAGAAACAAGCATTTTTGTGATGAATCATTAAATTATGAAAGCTGTTCGGGGCACCTGGCTGGATCAGTTGGTAGAGCGTGAGACTCTTGATCTCAGCGTCGTGAGTTTGAGCCCCAGGTTAGGCATAGAATGTATGTAAAAATGAATGAATGAATGAATGAATGAATGAGTAAATAAATAAAATGTGGGGATATTTTAAAAAACATAGGAAAGTTGTTCATTAATGCAACATAATCTACTCTATCCTGACTGATAAACTGGCAGATCTTTTTTTCACAGAATCTAAGCAACTTATAGAGAATGAGTTCTATCTCCATCAATGACTAAACATTTACAGAGATGGTATTAAATAGAGAGAAATGAGGGAGTTTTAGGGTCAGAGAGCCCTAAGTTTAAACCTGTGGTATTGCTTGTTTGTTCTAATAAAATTAGTATATAATGTCCGTATAACTTTCAATTACCTTTAGTAACTGCTAACATTTTTGAAGTTCTTACTGTATTATCAGGCCCTGAGCTGAGTACACTACATGGATTATTTTACTTACTTTTCCATTTTGCAGATAAGAAAACTGAAGTTTATTTTATTTTATTTTTAATTTATTTATTTGACAGAGACAGCAAGTAAGAGAGCACAAGCAGGGGGAGCAGCAGAGGGAGAGGGAGAAGCAGACTCCGCACTGAGCAAGAAGCCCACGTGGGGCTTGATCCCAGGACCGTGGGATCATAACCTGAGCCGAAGGCAGATGCTTAACCAACTGAGCCATCCAGGCGCCCCAAGAAAATGAAGTTTAAAGAAGCAAATAACTTGCCCAAGATCACAGAGCTAGTAAATGGTAGAACAAGATACCTAATACGGGCAATAGGGCCACAAACCCGGTACTCTTAACCACTACCCCTTCTGCTGCCCTATGTGACTTTGACCAAGTTACTTGACTTCTTTGAAGCTCAGTTTCCTCTATAATGGCGTTGAGAGCTACCAAGCAGGGTTCTTCTTAGAAGGATTAAAGGAGATAATTGGGTAAGACATTTAATATGATTCCTGGCATATAGCCGGTATTTAAGACATGGTAGCTATTAGGTTTTAGTAGCTAATATGTCACTCCTTGGCCTCTCCTATAAAGGGAGACTAATCAACATGGGAAAAGATAACAAGAATAAATACTTGTCATGACCTATGTGAATTCAGTACCGTAAAAAGATAGGTAACACACATACAATAATCAATCCTACATTACTACGCTTACATTACTTAACGGCCAACGTTGACTTCTTAAAACGGGTTTTTGAAAGTAAAGATACAGTGTATCAGCAAATGCCACCTATAAGATTCCCAAGGATGTAATAACTGTATCCAGTAGCTCCAAGGCCATTATGTCTCAAGGTCCAAGAAAAAAAAAAAAAGACTTCAAGGGTAGTGAAAGATATTTTCTGCTCAACTATTCACAAATGATACACTGGGATTCACAGAGTTCAATAACCTTATGTTCATATATTAGTTGATGAACTACATAAGACAATACCATATTTAATGTGAAACTATTTGCTCTGGGTCTTCTATTTCTTTATTTAACTTTCCTTTTTCTTTTGCTTCCTTATGTAATAACAGAAGGGTACAAGTAGAGAGTTTCTACATAGACAATATTCTGCAAAGAGTTTTATTTTTTCCCTTCCCAATCTGCACACTTTGACTTCCTTTTCTTGTCTTATTCCATTAGCTAGGACTTCCAGTATGATGTTGAAAAGGAGGGGTGATCAGAGTCATCCTTGCCTTGTTCCTGATCTTAGTAGGAAAGCTTGTTTTTCACCATTAAGCACGCTGTTCATTGTAGGTTTTTGTACATGTTCTTTATCAAGTTGAGGAAGTTCTCCTTAATTCCTAGCTTACTGAGAGTTTTTATGATGAATGAGTACTGGGTTTTGTCAAATCCTTTTTCTGCATCTATTGATACAATCATGTGATTTTTCTTCTTAAATCTGTTGATGTAAGAGATTACGTTAACTGACTTCCAAATGTTGAACCATTTTATGTATAGTTGTATATAATTTTTTTTTAAAGAGAGAGCACTAGTGGGGGTGGGGCAGACGGAGAGAGAGAGAGAAATCTTAAGCAGGCTCCATGCTCAGCATGGATCCCAATGCAGAGCTCAATCCCACAACCCTGAGATCATGACCTGAGCTGAAATCAGGAGTTGGATGCTCAACCAACTAAGCCACCCAGGTGCCCCCGTATATAATTCTTTTTATACCTCGTTGGGTTTGATTTTGCTAATATTTCGTTGAAAGCTTTTACACTTTAAAACTTTATGCTCATGAGAGATGTTGTTCTTAGTTGTCTGATAACATCTTTGTCTGATTTTGGTGTTAGTAATGCTGGCCTCATAGAATAAGTTAGGAAGTATTCCCTCTGTTTCTAACTTCTGGAAGAGATTGTACAGAATTGGTGTGATTTCTTTCTTAAATGTTTGGTAGAATTCACCAGTGAACCCGTCTAGGCCTGGTGCCTTCTGTTTTAGGTCATTAATTATCAATTCAATTTCTTTAATAAACATAGGTCTATTCAGATTGTCTATTACGTGACCTTTTGATAGGAAGAGTTCATTCCAACCCTTCATTAAGATCTTTCAGGGGCTTCATATCTACCTTCTAAGTTTGGCATGTACCTTTTAGTCCACTGCCATCTCTTAACGCTCCAACTTCCTGCATTATGTTACTACTTGCATTTTCTCCAAAATATCAAGCTCTGTCATATGCCTATGTATGCATAAGGGCTTTTCTGTGTTCCTAAAGTATCCTTTTTTAACTTGTATTTATCTTACTAAACTCAGCTTTCCACAGAAGCCTTTCCTGATGTCTCCAGGCAATTCACTTGCTCTGTTCATCTTATACAATAGAAAAACAAAATTATTCTTACAAATTATAAGAAAAAAGCCAAACTTTTAAACAGTTATTTTAAATTTTCAATGTAATTCAAGATGTACAATGAAATAAACTATAAAATACTAACTTGGTTGTAGATTGTGTCCTTTATAAATTCAGTATCAAAGACAGGCAGACAGACACATTTTGATACAGCATATCACAATGATATAAAAACTGAACAATAAAATATCATTTCAAGATAAAGGTTAAGTACATATCAAGACTGAAGGCAAACTTGAATACTCATTTAGGTATACTTAGATACTTAGACATATCACTTTCTCAGAAGTGTTTGTATATAAAACATTTGAGTCTTTTTGTTTCTTTTTATTATTCTGAATGGCTAAGGGCTTCAACTCTGGAGTCACACACACTTGGAACAGACACCAGTTATAACCTGTGAGACCTTGGGCAGGGGATTAAACCATCTCAATTTCCTCAATGTCCTCATGGGATAAAAATAAATAGTAACTAGTGGTGATGGTAAATGATGGTAATGATATTCCTTGAATTATTAAAAATAATGTCATTATATAGGCCTCTCTTTCCCCTCATGTACAGTGTTGGGAAAAATGGTTTTTTTTTTTACCATGAATCCTAGTACCCTGCAAATAATAACCTGTCGAACCCCTTCTCCAACATCATTCTTCTCTATTCTTTTTTATAACTTTACTAAAACCGTAGAATAGGGGCTGGATGGAGCAACATTTCAAGTAGAGTAAACCTTCCAAACCAGAAACTTTCCTTTTAGTAGTTATTAAAAATAAATCATGTCTAGAAAAATAATTGCTCATAATTATAGGTCCCCTAGACACACTTTGCAGGGAAACATAAATGGTTTTGAGTATCTCAGAGATAAGGATATGAGAAAAGAGGCAAGACAAAGATTTGGATCACCACAGTCATATGTGATATTATGGGCGAAAATGTGTTTCCCTAAAATTCATATGTTGAAGTCCTAACCCTCAGGACCTCAGAATGTGACTGTATTTGGAGACAGGGTCTTTTTTTTTTTTTTTGAGACAGGGCGTTTAAGGAGGTAATTAAGGTAAGGTGATGTCATTACAGTGGGCCCTAATCCAATATAACTGGTGTCCTTGTAAGAAGAGGAAATGCGGGGAGGCCTGGGTGGCTCAGTCGTTAAGCGTCTGCCTTTGGCTCAGGTCATGATCCCGGTGTCCTGGGATTAAGCCCCGCATCAGGCTTCCTGCTCTGCGGGGAGTCTGCTTCTCCCTTTCCCACTCCCCCTGCTTGTGTTCCCTCTCTTGCTGTCTTTCTCCCTCTCTGTCAAATAAATAAAATCTTAAAAAAAAAAAAAAGAAGAAGAAGAAATGTGGACACAGATGCATACAGAGAGAAGACAATGTAAAAACATAGGAAGAAAATGACACCTCCAAGTCAAGGAGAGAGGCCTGGAACAGATTCTTCCCTCAGGCTCCTTAGAAGAAACCACCTCTGCTGACTCTTGATCTTGGACTTCTCACCTCCAGAACTGTAAGAAAAATAAACTTCTGTTATTTAAGCCATCCAGCCTGTGGCACCTTGTTGTGTAAGCCCTAGCAAGCTAATATATGCAGAAAGCAATACTAGAATGTAAGCTCCACAAGGGAGGGAATTTTTGTCTTTGTTTTTTTTTTTTTTGAAGCAGATGCAGGTTGGTTTTATTGAGTAACTGATCTGTGTTCCTGCTGAGGCCTTTATGTACAGACAAAAGAGAGGGAGTTTTATTTCTCTGTCTCTTCCTCCTTGGACAGAGTCTTGATGATTTCCTCCTTCCTGGCCTGGAGCCGCTCTTCACGGCGCTTGCGAGCCTCCTTGGTCTTAGATCTGCGGGCCTCAGCCTGGTCAGCCAGAAGCTTCTTGCGAGCCTTGTCGGCCTTCAGCTTGTGGATGTGTTCCATGAGAATCCGCTTGTTCTTGAACACGTTCCCCTTCACTTTCAGGTACAGGCTGTGGTACGTGTGGCGGTCGATCTTCTTAGATTCACGGTATCTTCTGAGCAGCCGGCGCAGAATTCTCATCCTCCTCATCCGGGTGACCTTCTCAGGCATCCGAGCACTGGCAGTACCTTTTCTCTTACCAATGCCCATATGTCTGCCCTTCCGGCGGGCCAAAGTGTTTTCACGGCACCGAGCCCGGGAATGGACAGTCGCAGGCTTCCGGATGATCAGCCCATCTTTGATCAGTTTTCGGATCTGCTGACGGGAGTTGGCATTGGCGATTTCATTGGTCTCGTTGGGGTCCAACCAGACCGTCTTTTTGCCGCAGCGGAGGACACTGGAGGCAAGCCTCTTCTGAAGCCTGAGCATGCTCATGGCTGCGGCCGCAGCGCCCGAATTTTTGTCTTTTTTTGTTCATTGATGTATCCCAAGTACCTAGAGCAATACCTGGCACACAACAGGTGCTCAGCAAATACTTGCTAAGTGAACTTTTTTATTTTTTAAAGATATTATTTATTTATTTATTTGACAGAGACAGAGAGCACAGGTAGGCAGAGGGGCAGGCAGAGGGAAAGGGAGAAGCAGGCTTTCTGCTGAGCAGGGAGCCCGATGCGGGGCTCGATCCCAGGACCCTGGGATCATGACCTGAGCCGAAGGCAGTCGCTTAACCAACTGAGCCACCCAGGCACCCCTGCTAAGTGAACTTCTTAATAAATAAAGTAGATTAATAAAATTTTTCCTATAGACGCTCTATTAAATACCGTAAATGTTTCAGTAACGCTTTTTATTCTCATTTAAGACCTGAGAACCTGGACTCTCAGTGCTCTTACCAACTCTGTTTAATTGGTCTGCTGCCACAGCCCAAATATATAAAATCCTCTGGTGAAACTCTTGGTATGATACAATTCCAGGAGCAATCTCTTAAAGACAAGAGCTAATAAGATAAAAATGCTGCTGTAATACAATAAACGTGAATTAGTCCACATAAAGAAACAGATCAAACCTGTTAGTTCCATCCTGGGGAAAACACCACAAACAGATGTGACTTGCTGGTATTTGCTATTCCCTGAAAAGTATCTGACTAGCTGATTTCACTAAAGGCATTGAGAACAGCCTGGATTCACAATTTAAAGGAAAAAAAAAAAAGGATTCACCTATTGTTTTTATTAAAGCATGTCTTATGTGGACACAGGAAGAAGACAGATTAAATTACCTCTGACTTACTCAATTATATGGCTTCGTGGTGCATGTATGTCTTTAAACCAAATCCATGTCTTAATATCATCACTATCACCATCAGTCAATACTTAATTTAGTTCCCTGAATATGCTAGGGAAATAATAGCAAAATAAAACATAAAAGAAATATGGAATCTATATTCTGATTCTAACTTATATGCAAATATCCCTTAATAACAGCTAGAACAAAAAGTTCACCAAAATTATAATAGTTCTTGATGTGGGGAACAAAGGCAAAAGAAAAAAATTAAATTTCCTTACAACTTATAGCTCATTGAGAAATCCTTTGGACTGGCAGAGTGACCTTCCTCTAGAAACTTAACTGCTTTGATGTTAATACTCCGCTAAGGGCAAAAGACAACCTTCGCTTAACATCCCGACCTCCAGGATCCTGTAAGTCTACTTTAACATATAAAAATTCCTTTGGAAACTTCCTTTATCTTTACTCTCCCACGATACATGTTAGCAATCATCCTCCAAGCATATGGCCCACCGATACACATCTGAAGGGTCTCATGACTAAGGTTTTACTAGACAGTAATAAATGACCTTTCGTAACAATAGCTAGCCCCCTCAAGGTCCTAGAAACCTTGCTTCCAAAATTCCCTAGAGACTTATGTACACTAGAGAGACTTAAGCTATTCCTAACCCCCTTCCACCTTGAAAGTATATAATCGTTCACCCATCACCACCCCAGTGTAGCTCTTTCTGCCCATGGGTCCTGTCCCTGCCCATGCTTGAATAACACCACCCTTTTGCACCAAAGATGTCTGGAGAATTCTTTCTTGGCCATCAACTCCAAACTCTTAACATCTTTCCTACATCACATTTATACAGAATATGCATGAGAAAGCCAGAATACACTAGTTTCGTGGGCAGGCAAAATTCAGCATTTTAAAATCACAAGGTGGAAACATCCATCCTGAAGGTAATTTAAAAATCAAGTCAAAACTTGTTCTTAGCTCTCAGTCAGTGCTTGGGCCTGGAATTAGCTCCCCAACTGATGCAATCTGAAACCAGAGCCAACAAGTGTTTACCAAAGTCTTTGTCCCAAAGGGAGAGAAGCCTCTTTTCTAAGTCTCCAGGAGTGATGCTGCTGGGATTGCTTTGAGACTTGAGCAAAGGTAGCAAGTAGGAGTACAAACGTCAAAATCATTTTGAAACATTTTCTTTTCCAGCAAAATGAAAGCCAAATAGTTTTTCATGATATGCAATCTGTAATCAAGCCCTCCTCTACTGAAGGATTTAGTCAGCTGCTGGTGCATTTGCTCCTTTTTCCTGGGAACCACAGCATAAACAGGAAGTATATGCCTCTGGGGCTTATTCGTTGCAGAATGGAAAAAATGAAACTGTGGATCTCAAGGATGATTTAGAGAGGAAGGATCATTAAATTACTGTACTCCCCTCCTTATCTTCTCCAGGAGGCTTGTAAACCGAACGACTGCACAGCTGTACTCCACAGGCAGTAAAATAAACAGTTCTTTGCCCATACGTGACTGGAAGGCAACTTTACATCTCTACGTCAGGCCTTTATCACATACTCGAGTCTGCGTCCCAAAGCAAAAATGATCAACCCCTGTCTTAACACCTGTTAGAACTGTGTGTGCTCCAGTTTCCATCCTGAGAGCCACAGGGCTCCGGAGCTAAAATCAGAAAGTCTACCCTTTCATATTAACCAAACACCACAGTGTTGGGTATTAAACACCAAACACTGAGCCTATTAAAAAGAAGAAAAATGTACTCCGCACAAGGGAGATCTTTGTGGTGATGGAATAGCTCTGGAGCTTGATTGCAGTTGTGGTTACATCCATCTACGCATGTGATAAAGCAGCACAGAACTACACACACACCTCGTGCTGCTGTCGATGTCCAGGCTTTGATAACTTAGGTAGTTAAGTAAGGGGTAACTATTGGGGGAAAGTGGGTAGAAGGTGCACATAACCTCTCTGCACACTCTTTGCAACTTCTTGTGATATCTGCACTTATTTCAAAATAAAATGTTTTTAAAAGTGGACCTTCTCCTGGGTATATTAACATACTTGGAACATTTTGCATTTGGACAAGTGACAGAGCACTGGGTGTCATACGCAAACAATGAATCGTGGGTCACTACACCACAAACTAATGATGTAATGTACGGTGACTAACATAAGAAAATAAAATTTTTAAAAAATGTAAAAAAAAAAGTTATGGAGAATAAAACATAGCCTGGTTTTCAAGTGTAAGGTTTCGGCCGCCACGCAACAGAGAGCTTGAGGTTGGGAATACCCTTGCAGATGCTTTGCCTGGGACTCCCTGTCTGACCTCCCGCACTGCCTGTCCCCCGACTCAAATTTAGGTCACACCTCAACGCCACCTCCTTACGGAAGCCTTCTCTGCGCCCCCTAACTAAAGTAGGTGCCCTCTGCTCTTCTGAGTACCTGGGTCCCTTCACCGCGTTCTTCGTCCGAGTAAAGATCTGGTTAGTTTGTTTGTCGCCTGTCTCGCCCCTCGCCTATAAACTCCATGAGGGCCCGCGCCGTGTCTGCCCCGCGCGCGCCCGTGGGCGGGTGGCAGGTGCACGGAGAGGAGTTTGTTGAATAAACGCACCTCACTGGGATTCACCCCCTCCGGCTCCAGGACGTCGCTCGCTTCCTCCCCCTCGCACCCACTGACCCTCTCGGCCCAGGCGGCCCTCGGCCCCACACAGGTGCCCCTCCGCCTCCTCTCGGACCCCACCCGCCCAGGGAGGGCGCCATTTTCTTCTTACTCGTCTGCCCAGAAGCCTGCTCTCCCTTGCGTGCCCCTTTTCCTCAGGCCACCCCCACAGCCCCCACCCCAATATCTTCCGCCACCGCCCTGCGCTCCCCGGTGCCCACCCCACCCTTCCGGTGCCGCCCCTGGGCCGGGACCCTAGCCTGGGGCCGCCCCGCCCCTCGGGCCACGCCCCTCAGCCCAGCGGCCCCGCGCGGGAGGCTGGCACCCCGCGGCCGCTCCGGAGGGGCGGGCGGGCGGGCGGGGCGTGGGGGGGCGTGTCCTTCTTCGTCCTGGGCGTCGATTGGCAGGGCCGTGGGGAGGGGGCGGGACTGCAGCCTGGGTCTCGGCCCCGGGTCTCTGCCCCGGGTCTCCGCGGCGCATTCTTCGCGGAAGCCGCTCCAGCACCTTTGACCGGGACGTGAGAGCTGCACCTCCGGCTCGGGCAGCATGGCTGAGAAGCGGCATACAGGGGACGCCGAAGCCCGGCGGCTCCCGGACTCCTTCAGGGGTGAGCCCCGCGCCGTCGCCCACCCCCCCCAACCCTTCCCTCAGGAACTAGCCGCAGCCTGCGTGTCCCAGGCTCGTCTCCGTCGCTTTTAAGCCAAGCGGCCTCTGCTTTAAGCTTCGGTGACGCTGAGAATAGTGAACCCTGCTCCGCGGGCTGGGGGTCAGATTTAGGGATGTTAGGGTGCAGAGTGCACAGCGGCTTGCCTGGCACACGGGGGACGCACCCAATGCAGGGCACGTTTCCAGTACCAAAGCCATAGCGGGGGCTCGCGTGCTCCAGCGGTTGCCAGGCGCCAGGCCCTGTGCCATCGCTTCGCGTTCATTATCTCGTGGCATGCATGCGGGCAAGGAGATGCTTAAGCGACTCGCGACCAGTGAGCAGTGGAGCGGGGGCGCAAACCTGCACCCCACACCCAGGACCCCCAGTCTTCCTGTCGCGCGACTCCCCTTTCCTTCCCACCCGTCCCCCTCCAGCCAGCCTTTGCCCACCCCCATCGACGGAACTGGAAGGAACCCCTGCTCCCCAAGCCCCACCCATGGCCAATTTCATATTAAGAAGCAAGACAGACCTGTGAGGTTTTACCCCCGCCCCTCACATACAGTAGGCTATTATTTGTGGAAGAAAAGAAGAAAGTCTCTTTTCGGCATTCTTCTCCTCTCTTCCCAGCTTCACTTTCTGCCCTATCCTGCCTCCTCTTTACTCCCTTTGTTCTAGGGATCTCGCCTTCGGGGCTTTTGTTTCTCGCCAGGAATTCCTTTAAGAACTCCCACCCTACGGAGGCCTTCCCTGTCTTGATGGCAGAAACCTTGAGTGGCTCAATGCTGTTCCTCTGGAAAGGGACTAGTACCCTTGAGAGGGCTATCATCTTGAACCTTTATTGGCTAACCTCTTGGGGTGGGGGTGGGGTTCCAATAGAGAGAGGTGACAGTCCTCCCCGGGGTGCTGGTTCCCTCCCAGGGGCTCTTAGTGATCCAAAGGAATTATTTCTAAGGATGGAATTTCAGATGGGCTGACATAGAGAACGACATTTTAAGTGGGCTGGGTGGGCCTTTCCAGCACCCCACAAAAAACATGATAATGGACTTAATGATTCTGATTAGCTGTAAAGCCAGCTTTGTCCACCCATTTCCTTTGCCCAGCGATTGTTCCCAGGGGCATCAAAAGAATTATCCCTCACTTTTCTCTGCTAAGCACATTGGAGATTTACCTTCCCAAATCAGTAGTGTAATAGGAAGGATGTATTTGAAGAAACTGATACTCAAAAGAGGTTGAATTACTTCAGAGTCACCCAGTTTATAAGTAATGGAGCCATATTTTAAATTGGGGTTTGACTGACTCTAAAACTTGCAGTCCCCCTCTTTCATAGTTGGTTGTCTTATCCTAGGTGGGAAGGTGGGTGGGATACTTTCCTCTGTGCCCTGACCTTCTGGTGGGAGACAGAGGGACTATGAGAACAGTATTAGCAGTTTGGTGAAAGCAGTGGGAAATCTGTAGACATTCTTTGGGAATGCACATGATCTTTATACTTAATATCCCTTTAGTTGTTTTTTCATGGTCACAGACCAGTTTTCACTCCTAAGTTCTTTTTCTTGATTCTATGATTAACATTTTTTAGACAGAATTTATTTTTCCGAATCCAGTGAAAACTGTGTGCTCCTCAGAAAATTATACATACAAACAAAATTTTGCTTAGTCTAGGTTCCCCCCTCTTTTTTAAAAATATAAACCTTCAAGATCCAACACGGGTAGGAAAGCCATTACTAGAATTTATTAAATAGAATTTATTGAGTGCTTGCCATGGGTCAAGCACAGCCTAAGTGCTTTACAAACATGATCTAATTGCAGTCTTCTAATAGCTCCACAAGGAAAACATTATCCACCATTTTACAGCAAGGAAACCGGGGCTCAGAGTAGAAAAATCACACGTGTGTGCCTCAGAGCTAGGTTGCAAACCTGGGGTATGTGATTTTCCATTTTCCCTATCCTAGAGCTACCTCCAAAATGTATACCCAAGAGAGAACCTTCTCAGGCATCAGTACTTCACTGAAGGTGAGAGACAACAAAGAAAGCGCAAAGGAACCTAGCTTCAGTCCAGACATCTTGAATAAGACATCTCCAGAAGGCTGCTTCTGAGGGAAGCGGTGGAATATAAAAGCCCAAACTCTGTCCTTTTATGACTTTGCTGACAATTAGTCTTAGGAGTATATAAACATGACCAAACCTAGGGCAAGACTACTTTTTCTTGAAGCCAGTGCATTCACTTTGTAATGAAATAATGCAGGTGGATTACAAAAAAAAAAAAAGTATTATTATAATTAAGAGACATGTCAACAGAATATATTCCTTTGGGAGAATGCCTGAAAATAAGCAGAATCAAGGGACTGATTTGTTTATTTCAGTTGTTACAGCTGATCAGATTGGGGAGAAATTTGTAACTTCTTTAATAATTAATCTGAGTTAAACCATCAATGGTCATAAATTAACTCAAACCAATGACCAAGTCTAGTTACTAGTAAAGCTGGCATATATATATTTATATTATTTATATATATTTATATAATTTATTTAAATGTATATTCATATATTTATATATATTTGATTAAGATGGTTCCTTATTACATGTTCTTATTACAAATAGACTATTTGTCTGGGTTTATATTATCTTGATAAAGGAATTACAGTTGTCATGATAATATAAAGTGTGGAAGGAAAAAGGTTAGAGATTACAGTCAGTGGAGAAAAAGTATGTGTCAATTCTCCTTTCTCCATTCTTTTTGAATCTTTGTCTATACTCTGGGACTGGTAAAGAAACTTAAACCCCAGGCATTTCAGCTGACACTTCAGTAGATTAGCCTCTGAAGATGCAAACAATAAAAGTATCTGTCGTAAAGTATCAGACAATAATTATACCAACTTTGTCCAGCTGTGAACACACTTATGGTAAGATGGTAGAGTGTAATGAAACGAGAGTGCAATTTAGAATTCAAGGATCTGAATTGGAATCTCAATACCATCACTTACTACCTGGGCCACCTTGGGTAATTCTCTGTCTCCCGAGTCAATTCCTCCTCTCCATCCTGGGCATAATCTTACCCACGGTAACTGTCTCCCAAGGTTTCAAGAATCGAGTGAAAAAATTTATGTGAATGTACTTTTGAAACATTAAAATGTCAACTATTGAGATAATTTGTTAATGGGGAAAACAAAGAATGAAGTTAACAATGACTATTCAGAAAACCTAGTAATTATGCAGGGAATTTAAATTTATGGGCAAAAAGTTGTATGAAAGATGGTCCAAGATGGTTTAGAACTTTATTGTCCTGCTCAAATGTAGTCTGTTTCTCCTCTACAGATAGAGTCCCCAGGCAGATTGTTGGTCTTGCTATTTTCTCAGCAGTGTTAGGTCCCGGAAGGCAATTCACTTACTAAAAAGTTTATGTCTATAAACTGTATCAATGTGATCTTTAAGTTGTAATAAAAATAACACTGCTATATATTGAACACTTCCTGAGTGTCAAGTACTTCTCATTGGTTTTTATATGAGATAAGTATTGTTCTTTTCCCTCATTTTACTACTGAGAAAAGTTAGTGGTAGAATTGGAATCTGATCCCAGAACCCTGAGCTCTTAGTCACTGCTTAGCTTCTTGACCTCAGTTGAAGAACTGTGCTTCTGTCTGCACCACCCCCCCACCTTTTTTTTTTTTTTTAAAGTAAGTCTGATGCCCAATGTGGAGCTTGAATTCATGACCCTGAGATCAGAGTTGCATGTTCCACCGACCGAGCCAGCCAGGCGCCCCCAATTTTTAGATAAAGTGATGTTGCCCTCCAAAGACTTTTATGAGAAAATTAATTGTAGATACTTTTAAGATGTCCAAGTAAAGGAGCTGGGTGGGAAAAAAAAAAAAAAACAATGGAAGAGGTAGGAGGGTTTTCTTCTCTTAATAGGGTCTGGTCTAAATTTAATTAACTTAATAACATTATGAAATTGTTTTTCTCCAATTTTTCTGGATATAACCGTTTCTATCTTTCCAGCTATGGGCGATATTCAGCCCATACATATTCATTCTGACAACTGCTTTAGGACAGAGGATGTTTCTCAACTGTATTCAACAACTACTTACTTGGCAGATGGTTTTTGAGTACCTGTTATGCTCTAGATGTCTACCGTATTAGCTCATCTACTCCTCACATTTAACCCTCTCAGGAGGTACTCCTATTAGCCCTATTTTGAAATGAGGAGACTAAAGCAAAGAGAATTCAGAAACTTTGACAAGATCGTACAGATAATAAATGACAGAGCCAGCTTTGGAGCCATCATGCTTTGTTGTTTTAAGAAGCTCAAAATCTATGAGGAAGACGGACCTTGAATAGGATAATTACAAGTATGATAAATGTTTTTTAGACAGGGTAAAGTGCTTTAGGTGATTTGGAGAGGGGGGCCTATTTAAGACTCAGGGGGTTCAAATTTAAAATTACTGATGACACCCTCACCTCTTTTTCCTCCTGTTTTATGGCTAGAATAGTCGAATGAAGGAAAGCTACAGAAAATCCCCAAGATACTTGGGAAAGAAAATATTTACACTTATTTAATTTCCTTACTCTTTTCGAGCTAGGCAAAGGACTCCCTTTATTTCAACTTGCATTGGAAATCTTTCTTAAAAGGGTTTGTTCCCTTTTTCTAATATCTCATGGTAAACACATTTTATGATTCAGATCCCATAATACTTCACCAGTATTGGTTCTTTTGATCCAGTATTTGTAGGCAGAGATGGTTTATAATAGAGAGGAAAAAGTACCACCTCCAGCCATAGTTCTTAACTTGATACCATCTGGCCTTTAGCCACTCCAGCCCAGACACTAATTTCTTCCCTAGAGGTTTAAGGATAAGGGCATTCGAAGAACTATAAACCATGCCTAATTAAAATATTCATTTGAAAGATGGGTTATAGTGTGTGCTTGTCTGCTTTGAAAGCCTCTGCCCAAATGAATGCAAGTTGTA